AGGGTCGCCGGTGTTGTTCAGTTCTTGACCCGCCCAGTATGACGATCGCAGGTGTCAGTAACAGACAAGGTGTCGCTCGGTTCCTGATTACTCCAATTGCGAGTGTAGCGTTCCGAATAGAGAGTGACGCGACGCTGCGTGAACAAAAGATTTGCGGAGGCTTTGCGACCTGTTTCGTCCGTGGACATAATGGAGAGTCTCTACTCTTTCGATATCGGCACCGAGAGTTGAGTCGAGGTTCTGGACACGGAAGGTCGCGAAGCAGGCTCCTGTCGTGCCGGTGTCGCATCTCTCTTGAGCATTGACTGCCATTTCGATGTGGTGATCTTGAGTAGATCTTGAAACAATGTTTGGTCGGAAGGAGCCGGATTGCCGTCTAGGTGGTACATTATAGGCGAGGTAAACGACAGTGGAGAACAATGTTGAGGAGACGTGTAATGTGAAAAATGGATGAACGAGTACGGGGGAGCCGGTAAATACTTCGGAGCAAATTCCGATTTCGCACTACTCGTGCCTGGTGCCACCTGCAGGACGCGTCTTACATTTCCCAGCGGCACAGTCCAGCCCCGCGATTTTACGACGATCATCTGCAACCCCACGGTTGGGAGTTGGGGCTAGGCCGTGTCGCTGTTCGGGACGTTATTTAGTGGTAGTCACACCAATCAGTTCTGCGTTTGACTGTTGGTTGTCAGGCTTCCCGTGAGTCGAGGCGCCAAAACGAAATTCCAGTCCACGATGGTCGCCTTTGAGCCGTCGGTCTTGGTCACACGTCGGTTGCGATCTGGCGACACCGACAAATGATGCCCGCGTCATTACCTTACTGGTTGAGCGACTCACCGCCACCGAAGCCTCAGGAAAAAAGGAAAAAGTCCTTTCTGCAATAGAGCAAGAGGAATCCGTAAGCGACGTGGCAATCACACGCTCATTCCAAAGTGAGGCTGCAGCAGAGCCAAAGACGGAGACTACATCGGAGTAGCGCCGTAAGTATCCATTGTGCGACTTGCCCCAATTGCCATGATTCAGCCATAAAGAAGGTCGTATCATCTTCGAGCTTAATCTGATCGACTTTCACGTCTCGTTGAAAGAGCGGAGAATGACACCCCAGCGCTGCCGGACGAAGCGGTGAAAAGCTGCAAACAAGACATGCAGGTACGCGTATGCTGAAAAAGTACCTTTCGGAACGTGACGAGGGCCAAAGCTACGGGATCCCAGTTGGTGGTTGGGAAGTATCCTGGCCCCGCGCAAGAGCCAGCTGACGTAATCACCGGCGCGGAAGCTTGGGCGTGCATCTTCCTGTAAGCCTTCGAAGGCGCCCCATCGTACAATCGTATACATCACTTTTTCAGTTCCAGTGTCTCCATCAAAACCTAAAGTCGAAGGATAAATCGCACAATATGACAGCACGAGACGGCATAGGCTCATAAATCCGACGGGTGGCACTGTGCGGTGTTGGACCATCTGCACCTGCCCGGCTCATGACGAGAGACCGGACGCTTGCATGCGAAAGAGAAGCTACTCTTTGAGCCTCTGTGGATTCCTTCCTCACCAAGAGCAAGCACCTGTAGAAACACCGTAAACGTGAACGTGTGTAGGTGAGAAAACGGGAAACCGGCACCTATGGCTACACCCATCTGTGGATGGGATCAGAACACATCTCCAATTTCTGAAGTAGCATGTGGGGACTCCAGATTCTGTTCCGGAGTTTTGGAGAAGAGCCCTGGCCTCGCGCGCGCGGCGAACGCAGCCATGGCTTCACGACTCGGGTACCTGTCTCTGCACCTGGTACCCGGGTCCTCGTTCTCTGGCACTGAATCCACAATCCGGTCCTTCGTAACGTCACCTCATCCAAAAGAGCTCTAACTGAAACTTGGCACGCGGTAGCGATACGAGTGCAACGCAGGCGTCACCACTTTGTAGAACAGCTGCTCAACCAACACTTGTGGATGTTGTATCAATGCGTGCTGTTGGATGACAGTACCCGCGCCCCATGAATCGAACACTCATTTCTCTTTGAAGTGTGGCAACCCCACTAATGGCTTTTTGGTGTGCAAACCCAGAAGGGTAGCACACAAAAACGCTGATCAAACACTACTGAGCATTCAAGACGCGATTACGTCTGCATACCTCCTTCCCGCACGGGCAGCCGCACCAGCAGGAACCGACAGATGGAGCACGTTTTCACCGCAACATTGGTAGGTATTGAGTAAGGTAACTGCAGGTCGACAGCAACTCACTCGTTATTGGGCTCTCGCGCTTGTCGCTACCACCGAACTTTCATTTCCTCGCTCTCCGAGGATCGCTTTACTAGCACGTAACGCGCTCTTCACTTATAGCCCGGCTTGGTCAATTCGCAGGCGAATTCACCATCTCTTCCCATTCTCTTATCGAACCAACGGCGGGCGAACGCAGTGCTCTGGTAGTGGAGCGAACCGCAACCATGAACGGGCAAGTCCTCGATCAACACCATGACAACCACCAGCACTGACGCTGAAGACAGTGCACCAAACAGCCCAGTATCACAGGCGTCCAGTACGAATGACACAAAGTCCGAGCATAATGTTTCTCGACTGCGGCGTGTCAGAGGTAGTATACCATGGCAGCTTTGGATCGTTGCTGTCATCGGGTTCTGGGAGAGGGCAACTTTCTGGGGACGTGAGTGTCTTGATCACACCGCAACATCATGCCTGAACTAGCACTGACTCTATTGCGGACAGTCACAGCCCCTTGGCGTATGTCGTTGCCAATACCTCGTCTCCATCAACTGTTCTGACTAGCTTGTTGTAGAAAACTACATGGAACATCCCCGGCATCACGATATGGAGCACACCCCTGGTGCGCTTAACCTTGGCCAGACGACGGCAACACGCATTTACTGTGGATTCTTCATAGTCTACTTCACAAGTCCTGTCTTCATAGCGCCGTTGGCAGATAATCATCTGGGCCAATACAAGACTTTGCTGATCAGCTTGACGGTATATGCCCTGGGATGTCTTGCACTGGTCGTCAGCTCGCTACCCTCCATGCTCGGTCGAGGCGCGGGTCTGTCTGGTCTGATCATTGCAATGGTCCTGATAGCCCTTGGTGGGGGTGGTGTGAGTAAAGCAGTCAACAATCATTCCTACGCGTACTGAATTTCTTAGACCCAGGCCATCATGAGGTCTTTCATCGCCAACCAGTACACAGATAGAGCTCCACGAGAAATGACGCTTTGCGGAACGCAGAACCATTTGCTTCAATGGCTGAGGAGACGCGTGGCGCGAACGTGTCTTTCGAAGTACTTACCAGCGTCGTCGAAAGGCGAACGGGTCGTCGTTGACAGCGAAATCACTCTAAAGTTCATTTACAATCTATACTTCTGGATTGGTAACGTAGGAGCTTTGTCGGCATTTCCGTGTGTCTACATTGAGAGGCATCATGACTTCGCTCCTTCGTATGCGTTGGGTCTTGGCTGTATCATCATCGCCCTTGGGATGCTGGTCTTCGGAAGGAAGTGTTTCGGTACGCATGACGCACTCATTTGGTACGCCTTATGCTAAAACATTACAGTCAACCCACCTCAGGAGGCAGATGTCATTGTACCTGCTGCGAAAGTTCTCAGCTGCGCCGTCCGCAACGGGTGCCGGATGGACCGCGCAGACCCAGCGTATCAGCGCCTGGAGAAATCCAAGGAAGTTCCATGGAGTAGCCAGTTCGTCGACGAACTGACACGTGCGTTAGGCGCTTGTCGCGTGCTGTAAGTGCTACCACTCTTGTTTCTCAAGCATACTAACATGTAGACTAGCCTGGCATTCATCGTCTTCTACATCTGCTTCGACCAAATGCAGAACAACTTGATCTCTCAAGCGAGCGATATGGATACTGGTAGTACACCCAACGATGTCCTTCCCGGCATGAACCAAGTGGCATGCATTATAGTCAGTCCGTTTGTGGAGTACGTCCTCAACCCCATGCTAGCCAAGCGGCGCATATATCTGAAGCCAGTCACTCGCATTGCCATTGGCTTTTGCTTCGTCGTACTCTCGATGCTGCACGCAACTCTAGTGCAGCATTACATTTATGCATCCCCGCCCTGCTTCGACCACCCAACAGACTGCGGAGACCGCCAATCTGTCGCCCAAGACCGGCCCAACGTCTGGGTACAAGCGCCGCTTTATTTTCTCATCGCGACGGGCGAGGTTTTCGCCATGACGACAGCCATGGAATACGCAGAGAAGCACGCGCCCAAGGAGATGAAAGTTCTCGTACAGGCTATCAACATGCTCATCACGGGTATAGGCTCTGCTATCGCGCTAGTCATCGCGGAAGGGGCGCGCGATCCATACCTTACTCGATTCTACGGTAGTCTGGCAGGAGCCATGGCCCTCACAACCATCATTTTCTACGTGGTGTTCCGCAACAACGACAATGACGACATTGCTACATCTCCGCACGGTTCCGCAGATGTGGAAAAGGGAAACAGAGACGCCACGCCTACACCACCCCTGACAGCTTCACCGTTTCGATCACGCGAATCCTACCTGAGCGTTCCCACGACGATTAAAGACGAGGGCATCGAATTAAGAGTGATTCCACCTTGCAGACTACGACAATAATTGAGCGACACAACACCACTGCATCGTAGTCATGCGATGGAGCATACATTGCCCAAAAATTGCGTAGGCCCCTTGGCTAGCACTAAGTAACGCGACTTCTCGTTACGATTGTATATACACAATTGCAGGGTAGCTTTGATGAGGATGTTGCCGTGCAACGCCAGCGCAGGTTGGATTCGAGGCAACCGTTGCGTCTCCAAAGTAATATGAAGCCATTGACATGGACGTCTTTAGGTGTACCTCGTCAAGATCTCACCCCACCCAGGGATAGAAGTGGACCTGAATCTCCCCGCAAAGTAGTCTAAATCAATACTCATAAGCCTGCACTGCCTGACAATATTGCACACGTTTGTTTTAATACCCAGATGTGGCTGAACTGATAAACATGCCTCAAATTGGTATCGTTGCTCATAGCCCTCGTAGATCCAGCTTTGCAACCCGTCCGCCAGACCCGCTGGCCCAGCAAACGTCTCTCTCAACGCACTCGACAGCATCGAACGTTCCATTACCGATAGGAACCCAATTCCTCCCTCCGTCGATAGTGACATCTGATCCACTGGTTCCAACTGCAACGGCTGTTTGTCTCCTCCCTGGCACCCAACTGACACCCGATATATATCCGCGCGGAAACGAGTCAGCCTTTCGCCAGCTCACGCCGCCATCGTTGGACCAAGACGCCGTGTTGTTGCTGGCTGTGGGTTTCTCATAGTCTCCACCGACTGCGATACCGTGACGCGTATCGCGAAAACGCACTGAGAACACACCGGCAGCGGCACCACCAGAGATGAACGAGTTCGCGACCTGCCAGCCATGACTGACGCTATCGGAACTTGTGTAGAAGATTCTTCCGGGATCCACGCCGCCACTTGCGATGTACCATCGCCCCGCCGCAGCTTCAATACACGTTCCGCTTGCTGCGAAGCCGAATTCGCCGTCCAGCGCTGGCGGCATCGTGTTGTTCGAGACAATAGACCAGTGCGCACCACCATCCCACGTTTCTAGCAGACGGAATTTGCCGTCGACAGGATCGCTCATTGCAACGCCGTGGCTTTCTCTACCTCTTTTTGTCTCGAACGCCATGCAATCGTAGAATGCTGTCTTTTCCTCATTGATGAACGTGGGTCTCCAACTCTTTCCGCTGGACATTGGCGCGCGAAGTCAGTATTCGTGTTGCATGTAATTTGTACAGAGCAACTCACCCATTGTCCGTCTTGTAGATGCGTGACAAGTTTCCCTCCCCGATCGATAAAGCAACGGCATTTTTCTTGGAGAAAGCCTGAATATCGCGGAACTGGAAGTCTGAAGCATTCTCGGACACAAATTGCGGGGACACGTCGACCCACGTTCTCCCGGAGTTGGTGGTACGTAGGATGGTGCCAGACGTACCGGACACCCACAGTACCTTTTCGTCAACAGGCGAAAGGCCGCGGAACTGTTGTGTACTGTTTGTGGGTGTGAGCGTCCATGAGAGAGGCTTTGTAGGCTTTGGATGCGCGAATGTGAACGAAGCGATCGAGAACAGAATGGCTAGTGTCTTCATGATGCAAGCACTCATAAACACGGGAACATACAACAGTCATCTCAGAATCAAGGAGATGATGCTGGAGAGATTAAGTACCTAATCAAGCGCAGCTATCGTGCCCCGCAACGGCCTTTAGCCTTGATAGGCAGGTGCGACATTCGCCACACCAAAGTAGTGGCATTGAACCCAGCATCAAAGACTTGATGAAATACATGTCTTTCGGACCATGATGGAGTATCTGCGCGAAGTACGCAACTTTACGTCTAAGCAAAGCATCCAACGATGTTGAATTTGATGTTGCTTGCACAGTTCACATATAGCGCAATGTAGGTTTCGGACCGAGATCGACCCAGCCGCCTGAAATGTAGCAACTTGAAGGTTGAGATGTGGGAGGGACCTTGCCATCATGACTTATATATCTGCATTCGCGTATTTGTTTCTGACATAATATACGGACGACGGAAGAGTTGTTCGCTCTGACTACTTGCGACACTTGTCTGAATACCGGAAACATGCGGCCTATATTGAGTATCGGTAGCCTACGTCTTCGGCATAGCCAGGCAAACTCCTAAAAAGACTGATTGGATAGGTGTCAATGGGTGACATTTTGGAAGTCGAGAGTTTGCATCACGCGAAGCTTGGAGAACCTCGATCATGCCAACAACAACAAGCGGATTCAACGATGCATGTATCGAACATCTTGCAATTTAGAGCTAGGTGATAGAAGAGTTTGAAGAGAAAAGACGCAACACGCGTGCTCATTGATTGATCGCAGCTTCGGTAGCTTTCAAAGCTCCAACTACAGCAAAGCATATCATGGGAGTGACTGCGTAACTGATCTGCCGGTGGGTTAGTGGATGCTACCAGCTGGCAGTATCTGATCGTTTCTTACTGTTAAGAATTTTGCAACAGTCATCTTCATCGACTCCGCTGCACCTGTAACATCGGCTAGCGCTACCAATATCATAGCAGGCGGACCGGTCGGCATGAGCATCATCGAGAACCAAAGCATAGGGTCTGCATCTAGAAGCTTCGTCTTCGAGGCGATTGCGTAGATCAAAGGTATGCTTATTCTGTTGTCAATTAGTCGAAGCTTCCTCCATGTAGCGGGTAAAGAGTCTTACAAGGGCCAGATGATGAATCTAATCAAGGTCACGGTCGCCAAACTACCCTTGTGCACCTCCCCACTGTGCTCTCCGCGCTTCATGCGCAACAGGCTCTTGCTGAGCTTTACCCCAACAACAATGATCTGCAACGAAGCAAATAGATCGCCGATATTCTTTATCGCCGCCGTGATCGACGCGTTGAGATAACCACCCTCGTTGCTAGGACTGAAAAAGATTCGATGAAGCGCGGGCGTCAATCCAATTACTGCTCCGACGATGGCGCCGATCAAGGGAGCGTTGGCAAAATGCCATGTGATTTCCAGTGTCTCTTGTAGCCATGGAGACAAATTGTTGAACCATGCTCTTGTCTTTAAATATCCCTTTACCTCCACACGATTTGTGGGCTTGGTCAATTGTTGTGGAAGCAGCGAAGTCTCCTCATCGACGATCCCATCAGGACCTCGCTCCATATCACTACTCCCGCCGTCTCCGTTCGCTTCGCCGTTCTCCGAATCATCGTCCTCTCCATGTGGTTCATTGGATGCGTCCTCATCTCCTGGCCTCAACAAGCGCGGCCCAAGAGCAAAGGTAAGCGAGTTGCTAACCATTGCATTCACCAGGAAGTATGATTCGGCTCGATCCATGGCCTCACTGCCAGACTCGCCGCCAATGAGTATGGCATCGAGAACTTGGGTTTGCTTGAGAGACTGTATAAGGAGGAGGGGAAGAGAGGTCGTGTTATTAAAGGCGATTGCTGGTGCTACCCACGCTGGCAGTTTGAAGAGGCGCGTAAGGACGCGGCCGACGAGGACAGAAAGTAGTGTATAGGATATCGACCATACTAACAATTGTGGTAAGCATATAGTTGACGAAGGCCCACAAAGTAGACTTACTCAGAACAGGCACATATCGCACTCCGGTGTCCTGATGCAGATTGGACCCGATTTTGTAGATCAACAAAGCCGGCAGAAACATGCGCACGCATAGCTTCGACACCTCCTTCGCCGCGTTGGGCGAAAGTAAGTTGCATTGTGCTGCGACAACACCAAAAGCAATGGTCAGGAGCACCGAGAAGGCAGCTTGAATGGCGCCGGTGAAAGGCACGATGAGTTCGCCTGCAACCACACCCATGATGGGAAGAGACGTCTAGCAGTCGGTAGCGGAGGAAAGTCCGAGTCGATCGTGTGGTAGCGGAGGTCAAAATGATGTAAAGCGTCGAGTAGTCTTCAAGCGTAAAATTAGGAAGACAGAGTTTAGCATCATCGTCGTCGTCGCGCACGCGACCTGGGCCGCGTTCCTGGACCATGACGTCGGTGCAGCGGGTCGCCGTTGGAGACGCCAATCCCACGCCGCGGCGCTATCAGGCGGATTACTCCATCCATCGCGTCTCTTCGGGCGTCCATTGGAGATCCCGAGATTCCAGTAGGTCGTGTATCGGAGTTCCCGAAGATAGGTAAACTGCGAGCTGTGCGGTGGGCTAGAGTGCTCTTGAAGATGTAGCAGCGCCGGCACGCAAGACGCTTGGACGGTCGCGTCGGGGGATGTGTGAGACGCTAGATTAGTCATCGGAGTTAGCCAAGCGCTTGGCGACTGCTAGAGCCTCACAGGCACGATAGGTTCACAGGCCAAATTCTCCACGCATTTCGTTAAGAGACAGTGGTATTGATACACGATATAGGAAATCTAAATAGGAAATCTAAATTACGCCACCTATGCACAGCGCCTGCACAGAAACTCCGCTGACCGTCGTCTTCGCCGCAACATTACCGACGCGTCCGTCTCGCATCTCATCCCATCTCACAACACGACGCCCCTCTACGCCGCCTTCTTTGTAGCCTTGGTCCTCAACTTCATCATCAAGTACACCAGTGTGTAACTGCTCACCGAGAACAACACGACGATGCCGGCGTTCCTCCACCCATAATACTCCTCCGCAAGGTTCAGGGTCCGGAGAAAGTCCGCTCCGCTCTTGTACTGGCACACGCGGCAGTCGACGGTGGCATCGGGATTGAGCAGGTTGACACCGGATCCCATACCCTGCTGGTAGACTGAGAGGTATTCGCCGCAGGTCTGGTTGGCAGCAGGGTCGAAGATGGCGAGCTCGCTCGATTTGCAGTCCACATTCGCAGACCAGGTGGTGAACACCAAGAGAGAGGACATCAGGTAGTTGAACGGGTCTAGATAGTAAAGCCAGTACCTCCAGAACGGCTCGAGCTGACTGTAGGGAACCAGAACTCCGCAGAAAGACACCAGTGTCGTGACGAAGAGAGGGTTGACGAGCGAGGCGAATACGGCGTTTGGAGAGTAGGCTGCGATCATTTGTCCGATACCTGTATACAGGAACTCGTAAACAAGCTGCGATATGTCAGTTTCTGCACCGTCGATGCTGCCATGAGAGGGGGGTTGCCTACCACAACGAAAAATGTGCTGCCAGCGTACTTTGCTGCACCAGGCAAACCTGCCGTGAAGTACCAACACACATAGTACATGACCGCACACACGACCAAATACGGAAGCTCCGAAACGATCAGCCCCGTCACGAATGGCGCCCAGTGGTATGTCTTGCTCTTCTTCTCGCGCGTTTCGTAAACATCGCGACGTTGAATGAACAGCGGTTGTAGCTGGGAGATGACGCCAGGGGCCACGAAAATGAAGCTGAATACAGTGAACAGTCGCAACTGCAAGTCCTGAAGACTATCGCCAATCATCCAGAAGGTGAAGCCGTTAAGTAAAGCCAAGAGGATGTGCATAATCACCTTGTTGTTGACGTAATCGGTGTTGCGGAAAAGCGAAACGTTCATACGATGCGTGACTATTTTCACTTGCTCCCACATGGGCGAGGCGAACGCATAGCCATCATCGACAGTACCCGGTGGGCGAGCGGCGGCTTCCGCAACGATCCTGTCAAGCTCTTCGGTCACGTCGTTGTACTGTTGGGATTCGAGCCAAACCCTGTTCCAGTCCGTGTTCTGAGACAAACTGCCGGATACGACCTCTATCATGTGCTCGGCAGGGTTTGCCTCGCGTGGACATGGCGCTCCCTTGCTAGCGAAGTAGGATTTCACCGTACTTGCATCGTCACCGATATCGCCAAAGTAGACAGTCTTGCCACCCTTGGCGAGTAAGAGAAGCGTATCGAATTGCGCGAACAACTGGGCTGATGGTTGGTGGATCGTTACGAGGATGGCCTGTCCGACTTCCGCGAGCTTGCGCAAGAAGCGCACAGTGTTGTATGCAGCTTGCCCATCGAGGCCAGACGTCGGCTCGTCCAGGAATATCAGGATGCTGGGCTTCGCTACCAGTTCAACGCCGATCGTCAATCGTTTACGCTGCTCGATGGAAAGGCCAGCACCAGGTCGGCCGATGAGTGTATGCTCGATGTCGTGGAGTTGTAAGAGGTCAATTAT